CCCCCTCAGCCTTCCAAGTAGCCGAAAACACAGGATCGCGCTACCACACCCAGCTAGTTTTTTATTTATTGTAGAGACGAGGTCTCACCAAGTTGTCCAGGTGGGTCTCGAAACCATGGGCTCAGGCAATCCACTCGTCTCGGCCTCCCAAAGTGCTGGGATTACAGGCTGAGCCACCAAACCCGGCCAAGATATATATTTGTAAATGAAATTGAACCAAGTAGCCCCACAATTCTTTTAGTTCTTGCTGTGAACCCTGGAGTTCCTGCAGGACATTAGTTTGAAACCCACCTTGAGGCCGGGCATGGTGGCTCAAGCCTATAATCCCAGCACTTTGGGAGGCTGAGGCGAGAGGACTGCTTGAGCCCAGGGGTTCGAGACCAGTCTGGGCAACTTGGTGAGACCTCGTCTCTACAATAAATAAAAAAAATTAGCTGAGTATGGTGACACATGTCTGTAGTTCCAGCTACTTGGAAGGCTGAGGTGGAAGGAGCTCCTGGGCCCAGCATGTCAAGACTCTAACTTTAAAAAAAAAAGCCAGGCTTGGTGACTCAGTCTGTAATCCCAGCACTTTGGGAGGCTGAGGTGAGAGGATTGCTTGAGCCCAGGGGTTTGAGACCAGCCTGTGTAATAAATCAAAAAATTAGCCAGGCATGGTAACACGTGCCTGTAGTTCTGGCTACTTGGAAGCCTGAGGCAAAAGGATTGCCGGAGCCCAGCAGGTCGAGACTGTGGTGGCCGGGAGCGTGCCACTGCACTCCAGTCTGGGCGACAGAGTGAGACTCCAACTCAAAAAAAAAAAACAAAAACCAACTACCTTGAGCCTGGCATGGTAGCTCACACCTGTAACCCAGAGCTTTGCGAGGCCAAGGTGGTAGGATCACTTGAGACCAGTTTGAGACCAGCCTGGGCAAGCTAGACATGGAGTCTCATGCCTGTAATCCCAGCAGTTTGGGAGGCTGAAGCGAGAGGATCGCCTGAGCCTATAGGTTCGAGACCAGCCTGTGTAACATGGCGAGATCTGGTCTCTACAATAAATCAAAAAAATTAGCTGGGCATGGTGGTGCATGCCTGAAGTTCCAGTTACTTGGAAGGCTGAACCAGAAGGATCGCCTGAGCCCAGCAGGCCGAGGCTACGATGGTCATGAGCATGCCTAGGCAACAGAGTGAGACTCTGACTCAAAAACAAAAAACCAAAGTCGGGCTCAGTGGCTCAGCCTGTAATCCTGCACCTTTGGGAGGCTGAGGTGAGTGGA